AACACGTGGGTAGTGGGAATTATAGAAGAAGAACGAGATGGAGGATTACCTTGCATAGAAGTCTGTGAAGAGTTCGAATCTGCTTCTGCCGCTGGCACGCCAAAGATAGAGGACTGTACTGGCATGACTATTTGGTTAAGAGGAGAAGATGGCGTTTGGGTTGGGATTCTGCAACTGGAATTATTGTTTTAATTGGTTGGAGAAAATCTAAAATATTTTTTTTAGTAATTAAACTTTTATATATCATGAAAAATATTTACAAGCAAATAAGAAAACCCATACATATATGTTCCTATGCTTCATATACTTCCTCCCCCTTACCTTCCTACTGTTAGTCTCATTTACTTCTATCTATTACATTGGGCAGTAATCCATTTTACTTAGAACTTTCTCTACTTCCTTGTTGCTTCGACAATGCACTTCTTGTACTATCAGCTTGCCAATTATCTCCCAGCTCCTCGCTTTGTCTTGGAAAATTCTGCAATTCCTTTCTTGTCAAACATAATAAACACATCCTGCTAGTACCATCTTGAATAGTTCTGTTTGTGCATTCCTTCTTCTTGTCCAGTTTTCTGCCCATTTTAATTCCTCTAACCACCCATATATGGTTATTCTAATGCCTTTCCATTTAAGCAACCTCTTCCATAACTCCGCTGCATATTGGCACTCAAAGAATAGATGCTGGATAGACTCATTTGCCTGCTTACACAACAGACATGCTTGATCAGTTTGAATTCCCCATTTTAGCTATCTATCCTTAGTGTACAGTCTACCATTTGCCACCATAGTTAGCATGAATATCCACCTAAGACACCCTGTATTATTACATACCATTCTCCTCCAGCTCACTTTGCTAAAATCACCTCACAATTTATGGTATATTTGCTTAATAGAACAGTCATGCATTCTTCTTATATCTTCATAGTTGTATCCTGCAGCTTCAAAACTCTCTTTAGCTTTCACAATATTTCTCATGATCCACGATGCTTGGTTCAGTTGTACTTCCCAGATGTTTTTATCCTTAATGTAATAGTTGTGTACCTATTATATCCATAGCTTATTCTTCTCTTTACATAGGTTCCAGAATTACTTATAGCTGCTTTGTTCCATAAGCTAATATTTATGACATTAAAACCTCCTGCTGATTTAGGTTGGCAAACTTTCTCCCAAGCTAGTAATTCTTTCTTTGAAACACTACTGTCCCCTGTCCATAAGAAGCTTCTATAGATTGCCTCAATCAGTTTTGTAATTTTCTTTGGCAGCATGAAAATCTGGGCCGAGTAAGTCTGGATAGAAATTAGAACACTCTTGATGAGTTGAATACTCCCAGCATATGATAGGAACTTGGATGTCTAGGATGTAATTTTGCCCACTAGTTTGTCAATTAGAGGTTGACATTGAACTAGTGAGACTCTTTTAGAACTTAAGGGTACTCCCAAGTATCTCACTAGTAGTTCTCCTTTTTGAATGCCTAGGAACTCCAATATGTCTTCCTGCATATCATGAGACACACCACCAAAGAATATAGAGCTTTTCTTTTTGTTGATCTCCTATCCTGAAGCTTTTAAAAACTCCATAAATTAGTTGTATAGCAGCTTAATTGATCCAACGTCACCCCTGCAAAACAACAAAAGGTCATCTGCAAATCCAAGATGCAATATTTGAAACTTTGCACACTTAGGATGATAGTTGAAATCTGAAATCTGATTCAAAGTCTTCAGACTTCTTGTGAGATACTCCATTGCCAGTACAAAAAAGCAATGGGGATAGTGGATCCCCTTGCCTAAGCCCTTTCCTAGCTTCAAAAGGCTGAGTTGATGAGCCATTCAACATGATTATATAAGGAACACTTTGCACACAAGTCATTATCCATTTTACAAACTGCTCAGGGAAAGCCAGTACATTCAAGACCTGTTCTAGGAATGGCCATTCAATTGAGTCATATGCCTTCTGCATATCCAGTTTCATCATGCATCCAGGTGACACTCCTTTCCTTCCATATCCTTTAACTAGTTCATGACTTAGAATAATGTTATCAACAATTACTCTTCCAGGTACAAAGGCAGATTGTGTCTTATCAATTAAGTCCTCCATAACTCCTTGTAACCTCTTAGTCAGAACTTTAGAGATCACTTTATATAGTGTGGAGTAACATGAAATAGGCCTATATTCTTTGATGCTGGTAGGATTTCTAACTTTAGGGATCAGGGTGATTGAGGTACAATTGAAAGGCTTAAACATTTGTGTTGTATCAAAGAAATTCAGTACAACCTGTGTTACCTCCTCACCTATGATTTTTCATGACTTTTTAAAAAATACTGCATTGAGTCCATCATACCCTGGAGCCTTCAGATCGTTGATATCTTTTAAAGCTTGCCATATCTCTTGTCTGGTCACTGGTTGGATCAGTTTAACTTGCTGGTCTCTATTTAGCACTGTCCCTCTCTTTATTACATTTGGATTAATAGCTGGAATTGTAGGTGCACTAGACCCTAGCAGTTGTTTATAATAGCCAAGTATTTATGCCTCTATGTCCTCTTCCATATGTAGCTGCACCCCCAGTTCATTTGCGAGAGCATGAATACCATTCAAACTATTCCTGTTCTTCATTTGAGCAAAGAAGTATGCAGAGCTAGTGTCTCCCAGTTTCAACCACTGAACACTTGACCTTTGCCTATATATACTTTCCTCTATCAGTATCCATTTCTCTAGTTTACTCTTTAGTTCCTTTTCTTCCTCAATTAATTCTGTGTTCAGCACTGTGCAACTCATCTTCTCCTGAACTTCCTGCAGCTCCCTTCTGGTTTCTTTGATTCTGTCATCAACACCTTTATAGTATTGAGTGTTAAGCCCTTTGACTGCTTGCTTAACTCTTCTTAGTTTATTCCACACTCCCTGTATCTTTCCATCTGTTCCAGTTGTGTTCCATGCTTGATCAACTTCTTGCATAAATTGAGGATGCTCAGCAATACAATTGAAAAATCTAAATGGGCTAGTTTTCTTCCTCTGTATTTGTGAGATCATAAGCTTAAGTGGGGAGTGATCAGAGACAGATGGTTCTAAGACTTGTATCCTTAAGGCAGGTATTGTCATCATCCAGTTAGAGTTCACCAGTCCTCTATCTATTCTGCTATATGTATGATTGTTTGTCCATGTGTAGTCCCTTCCCACAGTATGCAGTTCATTCATTCCTGTGTCATTCATGAATTTTCTAAAGTCCTTTGTTTCCATATCCTGTATCATAGTACCATGCTGCCTATCTTGGCTATTTAAGACTGCATTGAAGTCTCCCATTACTAGCCATGGTCCTTGTTGCAAACTGTGTATCTTTCTCAACTTCTGCCACATTTTCAACCTATCTTTTATAGTATGCAAACCATATATTGCCGTGAATTCAAATGCTAGCAACTTTGAATGTGTTCTGATCAGCCCATGTATGATTTGTTCATCTATCTTAGTTGGCTCAAAAACAAAAATCCTTGGATCCGATATTACCCAAATTCTGCTCTTATTATTGTTGCTGAAGTTTGATATCCACTGCCAACCAGGAGCAATTTTCTTGATTATGCAGCTAGCTTTATGTTCCTTTATTCTGTGCTCAACTAAGGCTATCACTGCCTTTTTATTCTGCTTTATGAACTCCTTTATCTCCTTTTGCTTATAAGCTTTATTTAACCTCTTAACATTCCATGTAACCACACTCATACTGGTATAAATTGAGTGTCCTGATACAGCTCCTGCACCCCATAGCTTCTTATCTGCATACTGCTTGATCCTGATTTATTTATTGCTTGATCACTTCCTAAAGATTGAAAGCCATTACTTCCAGCTAGAGTTTGTTCTTCAACTTGCTTTGCTTTGGCCATTCTAGCTACTGATTTACTACTGACTGTTATCCACCCAGCTTCTTCAGGTTGCTTAACAATTGCAATCTGCATTGGCCCATTCTCAGGTGGTTTTATTGTTTCAGGCTTCTTTGTTTTCTCCTTCTCCTGCTTATTGTCCTTGGAACCATCTCTGTCAGTCCTCTGCAAAACTTGCTTGCCTTTGTTTACTCTCCCTTTGTATGCCATCTTCTATGGTTGTTAAATTCTATTTTCATTGTAATTATGCCCTATCTTCAGATATTTGTTGCAATAAGTTGGTTCTCAATCATAGCTAATCTCTTGTTCAATTGTTTTGCCCATTAGATCCAGCATCTTCACTCTTCTAGGCAGGGGTTTGGTGATGTCCATCTCAATTAACATTCTCGCATGAGAAATTCTGACTGAACCAGTTGTACAATCATCAGTATACACTGAATTTTCCAATGCACTCCCTACCTTACTTAATGCCTTCATACTCGAGCAATTGAGTGAAAGATTTGGAAACCTTACCCACAAAGGAATGTTTCTCAATACTTCATCATGCAGATTGAACTCTGGTGTCCATGCTTTCATTACTATGGGTCGATTATTGACAGTTTGAGGCCCAATAAACAACACTTGGTTCCTTTCTTCCAAATTAGCAAATCTAATCACAAAATAATCTTCATTATGATAATAGATCTGAGGTTTAGTTGAGAATTTACACACTGAATTTATGAATCGTTTCATTACTCCTATTGTAGGTGAATCTCCGATTACATACAGCACTATTGCTGAGCTCCATTATGCATTTTCCTATTCAACATCCTCAAGATCTAGTTTCACAATTTTCTCCCCATCTTGAATCATTGGTGCGATATATTGAAGATTCATCCCTCTCATTGCCAATTTATTCCCTGTTACCATATTAGCCCATGAGTGATTTCCTTTTACCTTCTCAATTTGCTCAGTACCTTTGGGAATTTCTACAGTGTTAGATTTGCATGGCATTGTTTCATTGCTATTTGGCGCCTTCATCTGTGACTAAACTTTTCCACTCCCAGATCCACATCCTATACTACTAGCAGCTACAGGTGTAGCTATTACTGCTTTCATCTTGGTATTTTTAAGTGCTAGATCTGATTCCATCTTACTCTACTCATTTTGCGTGCTCCTCGGAGTGACAGTCGCATTTGGTTCTTCAATTCTCACCCCTTTTGGTGAGACAAACAGCTCCATTACTACATTTCGTACATCTGCTGATCTCTGGTCAGTGACCAGAATCTTTATAAGGTTCCGCTTGGGCCGTCCTCTCCCTCCTATGGCTTCCAACTGCGTACGTTAGCAGGTCCACGTTAACGTGCGCCGAGAGAAAACCGTTTAGAGATAAAACAGAGTTGCAAATCTAAAATATTAGAGAAATTAGGGGTGGGTTTGTGTGAATTAACAATTGTAGTATTTGCCCATTCCGTGTGACTTTTTTTAATTGCAATATTAGAAAACAAATTTTTTGATTAGAAAATTATGTTCAACAAATTGTACATCTGTGGATAAATAAAATTTTTGATGAGATTGGATCAAAGCACTGGTGGCAGTGATGGAACAAGAAAAAACCAAGATAAACACATGGGGTGAATTTTGGTTTAAGTTTATTTTTGGAGTATGGTTTAAGCCATGTATAACATAAACATCCAAAAATTTATAGAGAAGCATAGTCAGGTGTCTTATGAAATAATTTTTCAAACGAAGAATTATTATTTAAAAGTCTAGTAGGGAATCAGTTAATTAGATAAACCGCTTGGTGACAGGCGAAGGACCAAAAGAATGATGGGAGAGACGCCTCATGTAAGCATTTTCTTGTAGTTTCAATAATGTGACGATGTTTGCGCTCAGTAAGAGCAACTCTTTGAGGCGTATAGGATGGGGTGAAAAGATGTTCGATACCATGAAGCGAGAGACAAGAGTCAAGACTTTTATACTCTCCTCCACTATCAGTATAAAACGATAAAAGTTTGGTATCGAAATATTTTTCTATCAAATGATGGAATTTTTGAAAGATTTCTCTAGCTTCAAATTTAATTTTAAGTGTGTAGAGCCAAGTATATCTTGTGTATAATCAACAAAAATATAATAGTATAATTTTTTATCAAGAGATAACATAGGAGAGGGACCCCATGAATCACTAAAATTAATCTGACGAGGTTTAGAGCTTTCTAGAGTTAATGTGTGAAACGGATGTCGATGGGCTCTATTAGACAGAAGTTTTTCAATATATATGTAAGATCTCTAGAGTGCAGATGACCTAGACTTTGGTGCCGAGTGGTCAAGGAAGTTGAAGTGGTAGATATGTGAGCTTATGAATGTGAAGTGGGCCACTCATATAGTCTATGTTTGGTCCGCCCGTATGCCACCGGTGTCCGCGTTATCAGATCCTTCACAAGAAAAGAATTCAATAGATGTTAGATTATCCTGATAGAATTTGGAAACAGATATAAGATTATGTTTGATAGTTGGAGCACATAGAGTGTGAGTTAGCTTAAAAATATTATTTTATGCATTTAACTAGGTAGAGCCGATATGTGATATGGGAATTTTGTTACCATCACCCATGGAGACATCCTCGTTGCCATGGTATGGTTGTAGGTTAGATTTGGTTGTGATGTGGTATGTGGCACCAGAATCGACTATCCATGGGTTAGCAGAAGTGTTGAAGCTTGTGATATAATTAGCTTTGGCCTCAAAGTGATTATGTGACGTGGATTGGCATACATTTGCAGTTTAGCCAATCTTGTTGCATAATTGACAACGAATAACACCCATTGGATTATTGTTTGGGGGTTGCCACTAGATGGATGTATGGGAGCGAGTATTTTATCGCCATAGTTAAGAGTTGTTGTTGTAGGATTGACTGCAATTGTTGAAATTGTTGGTCGGTTTGTTGTGAGTAGCAACCTGCTGTGATAGGACTATGAGTTTTCTTAGATTCCTCATGATAGATAAAGAGCTTGTGGTCAAGCAACTTTTCATATTGTTTCTTATAAATGACTATGGTGTCACGTGCTTGTATGGCAGGCGATATCTCACAAAACTCAGGGCCAAGTCCACTAAGAATTTCGATGATAAGTTTGAAGTTAGTGATCGGGGCACCTGCAGTGGCAAGTTCATCAGAGAGGGACCGAATGCGCTGAAGGTACTCAGTAATGGGAATGGTATCTTTTGTGATTCGTGCAAGTTGATCACAAAGACTGAAGATCCGAGTCTGGGACTTGTTTGCATAAGCAGTGTGCAGGGAGTCCCAAGCCTGTTTAGATGTGTTGGCAGCAGCAACTGTGGAAGTAATAGTAGAGTCAACAGACGCCATAAGAGCGTTCTGGAACAGTAGATCCTGACCAAACCAAAGTGTATAAGCAGGATTAGGGGTTGTATTGTTACCAAAAGTAGTGCTCGAAGTGGGAATCTGGGTAGACCCATCAAGGTGACTATAGAGGTCATGGCTGTGCACAAGCATGGAGAACTGAGCTTTCCAAGTGGCAAAATTGTGATTGCCACTAAGTTTGACAGGTAGTTGGAAAGCGGGGTTGAATTGAACTATGATTGTGGTACCGGTAGTGTTGTCGGCATTGACAACTCTGGGAGTGTTTCCATCTTTCGTCATTGGAGGATTTGGTGTGGAAAAAAAATTGGATCGTGCTCGTTAGAGTTGTATAGGCTAAGATACCATATAAACACTCAAGGAAGTAATGGAAAACTATAGCTAAATTGAATGCCAAGCTCAGTTTAAATACAAGTCTTCCTAAGAGTACTCCTTAAATTAGGAGATTTATTCAAATCAAAACACTATTAAGAGCTAACTAACTAAATGATAAATATAAACTAAAAGGATAATTCTAAATCTATATCTAACCTAAAGATAAGCATCAAAGCTAAGAACTAATCCTAAAGGATAAAAAACTGGTAACAACTGTTGTTCCAATACCTATTTAATACTTAATTACTTACAAATGTTGTCTCTGCTAAATTTTGAAGTTCAGTCATTGATCAGTAAATGGAGTATTACTTTTGAGTATGTAACTATGTATGTAGGGATGAGCAAAAGAGAAAAATATAGAAATAATTCTAAGAATTTTGAACATTTTGTATGCAACTATATATAGGACATAAAACACAGATAAAAACAGATGATTCGGCAAAGAGGCAAATTTATGTAACGGTTGATCAACTAGGAATGGGTAACAGATGTCATGTATTTACTAATTTGGTGAATCCATTATAGGAAAAGGAACAGATAGGTCAATCAACTAGTAATTAGCTGATATCTCCCTTCCTTCCGAATTTGTGCATACAGAACACTTTTTGAAGGTGTTAATCCCCATTCTAGAAGGAAACTGGCAATAATCAAAATGTCACCAGTTGAATTACAATACACAGTTTAAATTTCAGTGATCATATAGATACGATGAGTGCTATCCAATCAGTCCTTTTCTGCTCTCTCGGGAATATTAATTATGTGAAAAAACACACACATATGACCTTCATGGATTGTCAAATTTCACCTTAATTAAGGGCATATATATATATATATATATATATATATATATATATATATATATATATATT